ATTTTTATTTAAAAAATTAAATTAATTTTATATATCATTTTAAGTCCGCCAATTCCACGGTAGTTATATATAAACCCCAATCATCTCCTGCCTTAACCAACGCGCTTCCGCACCGCTCAGACCGTGACGTACCGTTGTCCTGTCAGGAGAGGAAAACCAAGGCAAGGCAAGCCATACTACGCGTCGACTCCGTTCCCTGCCGTTCTGTGAGGCTAACTGGCTCGAATAGCATTCGACTTCGCTGTTTGAACTCTCTTCCGGTTCGGATCTGGTGAGGCGTAAGGTAAGTGCTTTGAATTCCGGTTGTCGATTGTGTTTTCCGGAGCTTTTTGAGCTGTTTTCCGGTGTCGTTCAATGCATGTTTCTAGTATTTTTGTCTGGATCTTTGAATGAACTTGGCAATGTGAATGATGCCGATTGTAATTCGACGTTTAGTGTTCAAATTGTTTTCCGTTTAATATCTGAAGAATCAGGATTTGCTTGTTCTAATACGTTTCTTGGATTTTTCAGAAGAATTCTTAGTTTTGATTGATTCACAATGCAAGTTGTTGGACTATTCTGTTTAGATCTGTTGTTTACGCGGTTAATTTTATCCTAATTAAAGTAAAAAAAAAAAAGTTGAGAATCATATTTAATTTCTCGCTTTTATGACTCAATCAGAACTCTGTTCATTATTTTCATTTTTTTACCTGATAAGTTTGATTAAGTCAATAAATGATAATGTTTGATGATGACATTAATGGAGCTTGATAGCTTAGATCTTGGTCTGAAATGTCAGAAGTACCGCTCATTTCGTCTCCCAGTCTTAAATCTCATTGCCTTCTTCTGCTGTGGTCCCTTTCAACTATCAACGTTTTTTGAATAGGTCAAAAATACAGAAATCGAAAATCAACAATTACTCAGTTGACATTTAACATTGGGAACAGTTCTGATTTTCATTGTAAAATATATTGTTATTTGTTAAGGGTTTGAAGTAGCTGTACCGGTGCCTGTATTCTTTTTCTTTGTCAAAATTCTGACTCCTATTATGTGCAGGAAAATCTAGGTTATTATCTACTTTTCACCATGAAGGCACTTATTCTTGTTGGAGGGTTTGGAACACGGTTGAGGCCACTGACACTCAGTGTTCCTAAGCCACTTGTTGAGTTTGGCAATAAACCTATGATCTTGCACCAGGTATATTTACTTGAATGGTCTTCTGTGAGTCACAGACTCGTAGAAATTTAGTTGCAACTTAGAAACAGTCTTTTCAGTTAGTGCATCCTTTTGAAGTTCTCCTAATATCTTTTTTTTTTTTTTGGTGGGTTTTCCTTCATGATTTTGATTAGTATATCTTTTGGTTTCCTTGTTTTTGAGATCTAACTGTGATGGAAAGATAACTGCTATATCTGTGAACCTAGGCTCTGATAGAGAATTCGTATGCTTGATCAAGATCAGTAGTTGAATTATTGCAATATTGTCTGAGGCCTTCTTCTGGATACCAAAGACAGTAAAAACTCTCTCCTGACATCTGCTAACTATTATTTGATGTATTTGTACATTCTTCACAGATAGAGGCTCTCAAGGCTGTTGGAGTAACTGAAGTGGTTTTGGCAATTAACTACCAACCTGAGGTATACCCAGTGTTTCCCAGTGCAACTTAGTAGAGAATTAATTTAATGTTTTGAGAGGTTAGAGTTTCTCAATTTTGAAGAATAACTTGTGGCCTTGCTCCTTGTTTTGCAGGTAATGTTGAACTTCTTGAAAGAATTTGAGGCAAAGCTTGGAATCAAGATCACCTGCTCACAAGAGACAGAGCCACTTGGAACTGCTGGACCTCTTGCATTGGCAAGGGATAAACTCATTGATGGCTCCGGTTATCCTTTTTTTGTCCTCAACAGCGATGTTATCAGTGAGTATCCATTCAAAGAAATGATTGAATTCCACCAGGGCCATGGAGGGGAGGCTTCCATAATGGTGACAAAGGTAATGTGTAAGTTCCAAAATTTAAGTAATCATTTTTTTTTCAAACATCAGTTTATCTTCCTCAGAGAAATTAATACTGGAATCAAAACTTAAATAGGTGGATGAGCCATCAAAATATGGTGTGGTGGTTATGGAAGACTCAACAGGGCAAGTTGAGAGGTTTGTGGAAAAACCAAAATTGTTTGTTGGTAACAAAATCAATGCTGGAATTTATCTGTTGAATCCATCAGTACTTGATCGCATTGAACTGAGGCCCACCTCAATTGAGAAAGAGGTCTTCCCAAAGATTGCAGCAGAGAAAAAGCTCTTTGCTATGGTCCTGCCAGGGTTTTGGATGGACATTGGACAGCCAAGGGATTACATTACCGGTTTGAGGCTTTATCTAGATTCCTTGAGAAAGAAATCTTCAACTAAGTTAGCCACTGGTCCCCACATTGTGGGTAATGTTTTGATCCATGAGACTGCCAAAATTGGAGAGGGATGCTTGATTGGACCTGATGTTGCCATTGGTCCGGGGTGTGTAGTTGAGTCTGGGGTTCGACTCTCTCGCTGCACGGTGATGCGCGGCGTCCGTATCAAGAAGCACGCGTGCATATCCAGCAGTATCATCGGATGGCACTCCACTGTTGGACAATGGGCTCGTGTAGAGAACATGACTATTCTTGGTGAAGATGTCCATGTATGCGACGAGATTTACAGCAACGGCGGTGTGGTTTTGCCTCACAAAGAGATCAAGTCTAGCATTTTGAAGCCAGAGATAGTGATGTGACGATGGGTATGTTCACGGGTAGAATGTGTCCAGGAACTCTTAAGTTATCGCGTCTAGTTCAAGAAAGTGATTGTCTTTTTGCCTTCCATTTTTTTTTTCCTCTAAGGTGCAAAAGCAGCAAAACCCGGTTTCTGTCGTGTTACATGAGTCCAATGGTTCAACTTTGAAGGGTCAGTTTCTGTTGTTCCCCCATGTGTGAGGAGAGTAGCTGCATTGAGTAAATAGAAATAATTTTAGCAGCTTGTTTCTTACTCTCTCTGGGAGCCTGTAATTTATTTATAAAGAATTGTTAAATGTATAATATTATATTATATTTTTTACTTTTTTAATGCACTCTCAGAGGATAAGTATTCTACAGGGCCCCTTCGTCGGCTGAAAATTTTTTTTTCCGAATATGAGGAGGTGTGGGGGAATGAGAATAATTTGATTACTATTGCACGGAATAAAACTCTAATAAATGTGAAGAGTTCAATGTAGTTGAATCAAGGCAGTTAAAATTACAGGTATGGATTTGTTAATAACTATTTAAAGAATTTTAGGGAGAAAATATGAATTTGACGGTAATTTATTTAGTTATTACTAGATGGTTCATATATTTTCTATTAATCCCAAAGAAGGGTATTTAAGAAAGCTTTAGTTGTTCCATCAAAATGGAAAATATTCCTTGAATGAGAGTGTTTGATAAGTTATTTTATTTATTATTAGTTATCACGAATCAATTAACAACCATAAATTATTAATTATATTGGAACAATAATTTAATCAATAATTGAATGTTTGACATTTGAAAATCCGGGTTAGTAAAGTGAGTAATGGGCATTTGCATGGACCTTAAATTTGCAATTGCCAAACAGCAAAATTAAAGTCGAAAGGCACATCTAAAGGTACATATACGGGCCCAATCCGTGGGGAATTCAATAGGTTTGGTTGCCAGGGCCCCTGCGCTGATTGAGAAATGTATAGTTGCATACCCATTAATGTCCCGTCAAAGCATGTGCGGACTGGGCTAATGCTGGGTGGCATTTCTTTCTCAATGGACCCTCACCAAGTCACCTGACCTTATCAATAACTTAGTGGGTGGTTAAGACAAAGATACCCCACATACTAATAGCAGTTGGGAAATTAGAGTCAAACTAGCTTTTTTACAATGATTGAATCGTGGATAATTTTTTAGCCAAACTAATGAGAGGACCTAAAATAATGACAAAAATGTTTGGTATATTTGTTCCAATCGTGTACCCATTGCAGCTATGAGCTTGTTGAATCAAATCAAACAAGGAAGGGTGAGGAGAATATTGGCTTGAAATTAGTTAGTCAAAAGTTTAATATTAGAATGCCTTAATTATATAAGACTCCTCACTGAAAGCAACACTCAGATTGTATCAAAACCCACCACATTTTCCAGATTTTGGAATCAAGTAAAAAGGAAAAAAAAAAAGTAAAAGACAATGTTAGGAAACTGGTGTTGGGAAGAAAGATTGTATCAAAGTGTGGCCTACTTGCGTTGTACCTAACCTACAATTACAAGCACATTTTCTTCAATATGCTTTCATCTATTAATTTAATCCTTAAAAATGTCTAGACAACGTAGTTGGTAGACATTGTGATAGAATCCTATTACAGGGTATTGGAGAAACTGAGGAAGAAAGATTGAATCATGTGTAAACTAATATAGTCTTCTTTATTTTGATCATTTCCAACGTGAATATGGATTCCTGATTCTCATATCTGGGTGAATTGGCCATACTTTGTTTTCAAAAAGGCTTCCAGAGTAGAGTTCTTCTCTTGACAATCTTTGAATTCGACTTTCCGACCATGACCTGCAAATTGATGGAAAAAATGGGATGTTGTTAAAGTGAATGGATATGTTTCAGTACAACATCCTAGTTCAGTACACGAGTTCAACTGGTTAATGAAAGTGGCTATTTTCACAAGAAAGAAAAGAGTACAAACCAGGTATTATCCACCGGAAATCCAACTCTAACAGCTTTTGAACACTCTTCAGCTGCATAGGAACTGTGAAAGGAGTAAGGATAGAGGGAAACAATCAACTTATCCAAGAAATGATTGAATGGTATATTATCTAGATCACCCGGTTTTCTTTTGGGATATATAGACTAGTTATTACATTTGCAGTCCACAGGAATGGATGTTATTGAAAACTATGAACCAAAACATTTATCATACGCTTTGACAAGACGGTCAATTGCTATTACCTGAATATCTATTGTACATCTCATATATGCTCAATCCAGATTGTGTTAATGCAAGATGGTCACCTGTGAACATGATTTCAAGTGATTTATGGAACAAGCAGACTGATCCCTGCAACAATTTGTTAAGCATACAATTATGAGCTCAGGTCAATGCCGCCATTTTATAATGCAGTAGGAGAATTGACAAGATATTCCAAAGTCAATCTGGTAAGATTTTATCCCTAAGCTCTTTATTGACAGCTGAAACTAAATAATAGTGGGTTACTTTCTGCAACTTAAAAGAATGAGTTTAATGTGACATGAAGCAATTTCAATCAAGAATTAAGGTATCAGGCCAAGGGAAAGCCATCTTTTGTAACATGCCTAGGTAGAATGTTCTGTATTCATTAGAAAAGGAACTTACATCAGTGTGTCCTGGTGTGTGTATGAGTATAATGTCATTGCCAAGGCTCCATGGACCACTTCCCTCTAGCTTTATCTCCACATCAGTGGTAGAAGCTTCAACCTTATGAGATCAACATAACAAATAGCAACTTAAAATTTGTATCAATAAACTTGAATGCAATCATAAACGTGCAGCATATGTTTCCTTAGCTTCCAGAGACTAAACAAGATGCAAAACAAATTCTTACATCTTTCTGGCCTATAATTAACAATGCAGAACACAAATTAGATGCATCTTTTAGGCTATTTGTAAAATACAAAAGAAGGTAATTTTAACTGTAATGGGTTCTTCAATACATTTCTTCTCTCACTCTTACCATATAAAACAGGGTTTCTGTATAGAGAATGATATTGAAAATACTAAATAGTAGGTTAGAAAATTAGAAATTGAAGAAGGGATTGACACTGAAGGCACTACAGCTAGTTATAACAGTTCTGCCTGCTACAACAGCCTAGATACTCAAATATATAAACGAGTATGAAATTCTGAAAGGTAAAGAATTTATAATTACATCTCCAGAGTGCAGAATTCTGTCACAACTAAACTGATTTGACCACTTCTTATGATCAGCAACATCATCCCTGCCATAACAACATAGATCAGTATAATATGAAAGAATGTGTAACATAATCTTGTCAACTTACTTGTGCGTTAGAAACATGTAGCGCACTCCACCCAGCATCTCAATATTATGAGCAAGCCTCTTACTGTATCTTGGGCTGCATAAATGAATGGAAAAGGTAATTCAACCTAACATGAGAAATATCACTAACCTATGAAAAATGCTTAACTATAAACTATTTATCTGGATACCAAACTTTTTTTCTTTTCCTTCCTTTTGATAACTTATTCATATGAGTGCTTTTCAGATATATTTATATGTGATGAAGATATAAGAATACCTATCTACAAGTATATTTCCTTCAGGATGAACAATTAAGTAGGAAGCAGCTCCATATGATTTCTCAGCATGGTAACCACAGTGATAAATACCCTGAAAAAGTACCACAGCCCTGAATATTTGTAATGATATGTGAATGTGAGTGGTAAGAGGAAAACAGAATATCAAAAAACGTAAATGAAAAGAAATGGTGAAAGATTATACTCTGCAAACTGCCCATGCCAAGTTATTCCAAGAATGTGTAATAACATGGCTTCTCAGCTAATGAAGTAAAATAAAGATGCAGTTAGGACTAAAAATAAACTAAAAGGGTTACCGGAAGTTTCTGTTCATCAATTGGAAGTGGAAAAGTCTTCTGAGCTTCTAGGATATCAGGAGGGGGTACTTCTGTACGGATTGAACCCGTTGGACAGGAAGTTAAGGCCTAAAGACATCAGTAGTTTATGATGGCAGTTAGTAAGTAGAATCCTAAAAGAAAGAATTGGAAGCGCAAAAACTCAAAAAGAGAAACATAAAATCCACCATAGATGAAAATAAAGAAAAAGGAAACGGGTAAAAGAGAACCTGAAGAGCCTCTAATCGTTCCTCCTGGCAAGTTGGCTGTTTAAAAACTGCTGACATCCCATCAACACGTGTGAATGTTTGCTGAGAGGATAAACAATGATATGAAGAGGTTTATCATAAGAAAGACCACAGTGAGGAATCAGAATCTAAGATGAATATAATCTCAAAGGATTACCGGAGCCATCCAGCGGCAGGTGTCACAATCTATGCATGTGTGATCTGCAGAATAAATCAGAAAACAAATACCAACTCAAACAACAAGAAGCATAGGTACTCTATTGCTGTGAAGAACAAATACAAGATTTATGAAGGGTTGAGGTCATCTATCATAAGCAATATTTTAGTTCAATTTTTCAAGTTGAGTATAGACCCCCTCTATGACCACACATTAAATTTGTAAGTCTCCAAGATCAGTTACAAACATAGATCATGCTTAGTAGCAAAAATTAACCAAGGAAGTGGCAAAGTTTAAAACTTTTAGTCACAATCACCACAAAATGTCTATTGAATAACACACCAAACACAAGCATTGATTTAATATATTAACATAGATAACATTAGCAGATATCATATCTAAATTTCAATACCATAAAATTATGGGTACAATTATAACATCTTAAATTGCAAATACTTGTAAAATAATGTGACAATGCAGGAAAATAAAAAGCAAAACAGAACATAAGCTAGCTAAAAACTAATGGAATTCCACCACTAGTCCAAATTTGGA